CACTAGTCATGAGTTTAGTTCTCAGGAAATATAACTGATAAGATGCATGCCTTGCAAGCAGTTAGTAGCTTTGGACAAATGCATGAATGTAATCGTCTGCCTTCATTTCCTCAAAATAAGCATTATGATGTCAGTAATCAGAAACACTAATCTAAAAAGCGCACTCAGGATTCCTTGAGAACGCTGCATGAGCTCAGCCCCTGACTGACGCTGGAAATGGCTGGCTGTCTGGTTGGGCTATTACTTCTCATTTATGGATGAGTTCCCTGTTTGGTAATTGGATGTGTCGTACGTATGTAAATGAAAGGGGCTGGAAGACATCCAGGAGACCTCTGGCAAGACCGCCATTTCATCAATAAAAGATCTGCTGGGTGAAACGTTTACACAAAAACAAGCCGCCATAATTGCTGAACGCTGCATTAATTACCCCATTGGCCCTGATATGCCAAAATGAGCCTTTTCTGGTTGCATGAAACATTCAATAATTCTACTAATATTTCACGCTGCTTTACAGTATTTGCCTGGCTCTTTTCCCCACGTGCTAATATTCTTTCGCATCATTTGATGTACACTACAAACTGAAGTTGAGGATTAGCCTTCATCATTTATACCCTGGTAGAGAGCTGGTTGGTTACTAAATTCCAGTCCTTTGCTGCTGAGTTGTAATTAAGCAGAAATCGATCACACAGAGGGTTGTTAAACCATCCAGCTCGGTATGGATTGCAAAGAGAGAACGAGGCTCTCAGCATTTCAGAGTTGTCCAGAGGGATTATGTGTTGTTTGACACCATGGACAAGGGGGAAGAAAAACTCTGTTCGATTTTAGGCCCTTATACTTGTGTATAATAGGTCACAGTGTTTTCTTCAGTAGCAAATTGTTGGTGAAATGAAATGATTGCACAAATGATCAAAAGCAGATTAACCAAAGTATTGGATCATGACTGAAGGTTACTGTTATCAGCAGTCATATTAGCATAAACAACCATAAACATATAAAAAGAACTGGGTCATTCCATGTCTAATCAACCAGTGGTCCTTAGAGGCAACATTTATTTAATTTTGATATTTTTTTCTGGTCAAAGAAATATATAAATGAAAAATCAAATCAAATATTAAATGGCTATTTAATACGAACCAGAATCTCAAAGGATATGGAGATACACATACAGTATATTTTATACTTCTAGAGGAACAAGCATGAAAACTTTGGGAAAAGAATAGTTTCTATGCAATTGTTTTGATAGAGGGAAACAAGATACATTTCTAGGTTTAACATTATTTGTCTTTCAGACATTCTTCTTTATAAAAAGGTATAAAAAAGCTATGGGTTGTAAGCAAAGTGACCCACATTTGGTTTTTGATCACTGAAACTCAGTGCAATTTAATTTACTCATGGAGCCAGATTGAGATCCCCACATCTCTGGAACTGAACCATATAGGGCCTTAAAAACGAAGAGACCAAACAATAAATTTGTTAAGAACCAGTATCTAAAAGAATATTGACATATAGGGGTGGGCGATATGACCAAAATATTATATCACGATAGGAGTGATTTTATTTCACGGTAGCGGTATATATCACGATAATGTTATTTTTGCTTTAAATAAGGTCTTTATGATATCAATATCTTTGATACCATAGATGTTGCATAATTCTTGTCACCAGTGTCAATTTCACAAAAAACTAATACTAGCCTAAATTTAAAAAAAAATCAAGCTCACTGAAAGTAAACAGTCAGCAATTAAAAAGGAATAAGAAACTAATTTCAAGCAGGACATAAAAACTACAGTAGAACAAAGAAATAAGAAATGCATTTTTACACATACAAGTGTATGTATTAAATCGTTCAAGGTCTATAAAGTGGCAGAAATAACTCTGCATATAGTGAAATAAGTTCTCTTTCACTGCTGATTGCATTTCAATGGCTTTGAATCACTTGTTTTTAAACCGCAATGCTTAAAATTACGTGCCAATGATAAGTTTTCGTGACCATGCAGAACAGCAACGTCACGTGAGCGTGTAACCACGATAGAGACGATAGTCCAAAATACTACTCTACCGACTGACAAATTTCTACCGGTTAATCATGTCTACCGGTATATCGCCCTAAATAATACTTAATACTTTTTGAGTTACAGGCACAAACAATCTGGACAAAAAAAACATGTTTTTTCCCGTTTTGACCTGCCACCATTAGTGATAATTATGCTGACATGATCTTTCTAAAGTCATTTTTCCACCCCTGTAATTTGCCTCCAAATTAGGTGAAAACGGCCAATTGATGCCTTTGATTATTATTAATGAACACAAAATAGTAAATATTCATCAATGACATTTAAAAATGTTGATTTTCATTACTATTTATCTTTGTCTGTCTTCTGAATATGAACAAATTCAAGTTTCTGAAATTAGTTTGATTTGACAGAATGACCCAGCTATTTTGTTTCAGTCAGCTGTGTCTGTTAAAACCAAAAATTGGGCAAAATAATAATGACTGATTATTAATTTTGTCTAATTAAATTCTCACAATGATAACGACCCTTGACCTAAAACCACCTTCAGCTGACCTGAAACTAGCATCTTATTAGTAATATGATATACCCCACTAAAACTTACTGCTTCAATAGGAAATACATCAGAAAACACTTAGAATAGAACAAATGAAGTATCCAAATAATGCAAATATGTCAGCTGCTTTTCTGGCAAGATAATACCATAATCACAAATATGTTAAACACCTACTTTTAAATGTAATATAAAACCTGGGTTTAACCAAATGGAAAAATGCTACTTCCACATTTCCGCATCGCAGGGCTCTATTTTACATTGCATGAAATGAGCTTTGGAGGAGATTAAACAGGAACAAACCATCTATAGGAAGCGTCACTAAATCTGCCAGATTATTTCCAGACAGTTTTCAGATTATAAAGGATTTGCTATTGACATTTACCCTTGGACAGATGCTCCTGTGGTCAAAGCAGGCAAAAGAATAAGTTTTACAGCAACATGTGCTGAACAGTTTGTACCGTACACTTATGCAAAGGCAACATACTGATACCAAGAGAAGTTCAACAACTAAAGAAATGCAGTGATCTATATAATACAATTATCAAAAAAATTTTTTGAAATATTAAAACAAAACTGCAATATAATAATTCCCGTAAAATGTTAAATTAAAATAGTTTTCGTATAGAATCAGGAAGAAACTATGCTGTATTTAAGACCATGTAGCAGGCAAACACAAATTTGGGACAGCTGTCATTCACAAAATTCACTGTCCCCAGACCTTTCCCTTGAAATCAGCGCAGAAAATGGATGGAAAAACAACAAAAAAAAACAGATTCTGTCTGGGCCTATCAGTTAATTGGTATTCAAATTATATTACATCACATCACAGTATTTTCTTGGTCCACTTAATATCCGGATTATATTATAGCCTGTAAGCTTCCATAATGTCTATATTACTGCATATAAATGTAATATGTTGCCACTGTCAATCCACGCTGTTACTAGACCACTAATTGTATTAGGAATATCTAATATCTGTCCTATCAATCATTGTAACCACATTATAGACATTATTCTCTTCTCGATTCACATGTGCAAACAAATGATATATCATGAGAACTAAAACTATACACAACCAGAAACCACAATTTTGTATTATGCAATGTCATTTGTAATATCAAATGGACACCAGTGGGTATATGAATTTGAGAAAGCTTGGAAAAGTGGAGATATAGTTCTGCAAAAAGGTATTTGGTTGCTGTGTAAGTTGTGTTTTCCTTTCATTTTGAAGTTGTGTGGATCTTTAATGACCCTATTTAGGCTAAAAAATCAACTAACAGACGAGAGCCACTGCTAAATGACAGCAGAGGGAACACATTTCATTCGAACAAAAGGCTTTGCTATAATCAGCTTTCTGTTACAATCTGCCAAAAATACACTCACTGTTCTCCTTCTCTATCTGTTGCTGCTTAGCATACTATGAGTCCTAATTGTCTTTCCCAATCCCCATCCCTCCAATTGTGATGATCTCTCTGTGGAATCTGTGTCAACTCTACTCACCAGATCTAGCCATCATCTGAACGCTCTGCACCACAGCTCAACCAGTCGCTCTGTCCGCTGGAGTTCCCTGCAGAAAGCTAATGTGTTGGGTACATAATAATAGGTTTATGCAAGACTATTGCGATGATTCACTTGGGTGGCTGTCATGCTGCCGTCATGCAAAGAATCACATGAATTCAGATAGCCTAAAGGCTGTTTCTTTAACTATGGGCCTTTTTGGCCTTTAGACAGTGAACTCGACCCAGATCAACATCTATGGAGATGAAAGAAACAGGGCCCTCTGCTGCATTTGAGAAATATCACCCTATGACCACAAACGTCCAAACGTCTGCTTTATCATGAGACACAACACTATCATGAACAAATCAAACAAGTTTTCATCATTTAAAACATTTAAAACATCTTCATCACTTTTACAAGCACTACTCAGAACAAAGACTAACACATCAGTTTAAAGCATGGTGAATAAAAGCATGTAGTTACTTTACAGTCTATTCTTCTTCAATTTTTGGGGTTCATCACTGTTTTCCATTTATAATACATTGTGGCATCGCGTTCATTATCAGACGATCCGCTGACATTTTATGTTTTAGAATTAGATGAAAGTAGATGTAGATGAAATATGTTCAGAAAAAAACAAACAATGTGAAATTATGTTCCTCACAGAAATTGCTATCCTGAACACTGTACGTTTTTGTATTTTTCGCCGTTTTGTGCTCTCGCGTATCAGCCTGCACAGCTATTGGCTGGAAATCAATCAGATGACGTTCCTAGCTTGGAGAATCTAATGATGGAATACGTTTCTCTGCGACACGACCAGTTAATTCAGATTTTTATAAAGGACAAAAACATTGTGACGAAACATTTAAAACAAATCCCAGTAAATAGGTGATTTTCTAGAGTATTTGTGTGTGCATGTTATTGTAGGAATACATATTTGCGTGTTGGCTGACGTTATCTTAGTAGTTTGTTAAAGTTATGTTTATTTTAGTATAACTATCAGATTTAGTTGTTTTTTCTCACTTCTAAATGACAGTTTCAGATATCTTTTATGTAACTGTTATGAAAATTGTTATAAGACCTGCTGTTTTTATTAATAAAAGTAAAATTTTACACTGATACACTTTTAAACTGGAACAACAAAATGGCTCAAAAAATTTAACCATAAAACCTTTTCTCCAAATATTCAGAATAATATGTGACATCATTATTTTCAATAATTTGCAACTTATATATGTGAACATCTGTTAACTTCTCAAGAGTTTCATGATCCTTCAAAAGTTAAAATGAAATGGCTATAAAAAGCCTTAAAAATAAATTAAACACAAAATATGTTATTTTTAATAACACCTAACCTCTGAAACATAAAAGTGCATAACACTGAAGTAAACGCTTGAATTGTTTGAGCATATCACAGAAATCCACATCCATTGTAGTAATATGTTCAGACCATAATTTAATAAAAACAGCTATAATGTTTGCTTACACGAGTCCACTGCTCTAAATTTTGAGCTCTGTTAGAGAGCACTGCTTTCATTTTCAGCTGAAGCTAATGGAGAAATGATGTGATGCACCATATTGTTTAGCAGAAAATTATATTTCCTACTCTTTCTAAATGCGCTGCAGAACAGAGCTGCTCTGTGGTGTGGTGATTCATTAAAAAGCATGTCTCTTTGCTTCCCTTATTCCAGAACCCCTTGAACACTGACGCTAACCTTCCACCCCCCTCTCAACAGCCTCCCTCCACATTCTGACACTCTCTTCTCGTTTTCTGCATCAACCAGGTGATGCAATCAGCAAATGGAAGTCCCTGCATCGCCCATCACCTTCCCTAACAGTGTTGAGGGGAGGAAGGTCAGAGAGCACGGGGAGAGAGGGATGAAGCAAGTGCAAGAGGAAGGAGACAAGGGCAAATGTGAAAATGACATCTGAAAATGCCAGACGACTAAGGACGGTACCTCTTGTGACATGGGTGAAACTTTACAAATCACCTGCTGCTGTGGTCATTTGGTACTCATCATGTCTAGATGCTTCCTGAAATAACATTAATCTTACATAGTCACAAAACTGAAGTTTAATACTGTGTTTTGACACTGTAGATCATTCTCTTTTAATTACTCGTCTCGAAACAGTTTTTGGGGTCTCTGATACTGCACTTAATTGGTTTAAGTCCTACTTTGCAGACAGTAAGCAATTTGTTACCATGGGTGGATTTAGGTCTGAGGTTGGTGTCGTGTAATCTGGAGTCCCTCAGGGATCAATTTTGGGCCCCTTGCTTTTTAACATCTACATTTTTCCAGCTCTTGAGATCTTTTGGTCTAAAATTTCATTTTTATGCAGATGACACTCAAATTTACATACATTCAAAACCTGATGATACTGTGCCTGTGGATTTTCTTTCTCAATATATTTCTAAGATAAAAGAATGGATCTCGCTAAATTTTCTTTGTCTTCACAGTGAAAAGACTGAGATTATGCTCACTGGTTCACCTCACCAATTACGTAAAGCTGGGTCGTTACTTTAACTGTTGATGGTTCTATCAAGGAGTTTCATACAAAACAAAAAATGTTTAGCCTCATGTCCAGTGCTGTCCTTCCCTGTTGCTGAGAAGTTGATTAACACTTTTGTATTTTCCCGTATTGACTATTGCAATGCTTTGTTGGCTGGGGTTTCAAAAGCTACCCTAAACAAATTGCAGGTCATGCGAAATTCGGATGCTAGAATCCTAACTAGAACTGGGATAAGAGATCATATCACACCTATCTTGGAGTCTTTGCATTGGCTCCTTGTTCGGTTTAGGGTTGATTGTAAAATTCTGATGCTTACTTATAAGGCTTTGCATGGTCTGGCACCTCAATATTTGTCTGAGCTTTTATCTCCCTATACCTCAATGCGTGACCTTCGTTCATCTGAAACTGGTCTGTTAACTGTTCCGTCAACCCGTTTAAGATCGATGGGAGATAGGGCTTTTTCTTCATTAGCTCCAAAACTATGGAACTCTTCACCTATTGCGATAAGGCAAGCGAAATCCCTTAGCATTTTTAAATCTCGCCTTAAAACTTCTTATTATTCATTTCTTTAGAGTAGCTTTTACTTGAATTTTATAGAATAATTCTATATTATTTTGTGTTTTGAATGCATCTCTTCTTTTCTTGCTTATTTTATAATCTTCATACGGTGTATTTTGTAGTTTTACTTGTTTATGTAAAGCACTTTGAGATGTAACATTTAAAGGCGCCATAGAAAATAAAGATTATTATTATTATTATTATTAAGTTGACATTAGCATTTTGGATGGTTTTGCCAGTATAAGTTAAATGAATAAATTCTAAGAAAATCTGTAAAAAAAAAAATAGGGTCCAATGTATTGCATTAGTATGAATATGATTTTCCATATTGATATTTTTCCATAAGTGTTTTACTCATATTTTGAATTACAAATTGCATTGTCTTGTATTTTAGGGGTACATGAAATGTAACGGATAATGTCTTGGCTTAATTACCAGTACCTTTTCCATTTTTCTACACCGTACAAATTATTTGTCTCAACAAATATTATTGGAGTACAAGAACATACTATTTCAAAATTTTGATGTTTAATTCAATGTGTTATTTTCCTTTTCTTTGTAATTAATTGTGATTTACTAGCAATTTCTGAGTGAAAATTGTTTCTACACCATTTATTTTAAGTGGACAAAAATATTTGGTGAAGAAACAATTTTCACTAAGAAATTAAATTTGACAAATAATACAAAATTGGCGGGTGACACTGAATTAAATGTTACATTTTGAAGAAGAAACATTTTTTGTGAAAAACATACTCCAATATTCTGTTTTATTTACAACTTTAAAAAAAAATTACAGTGTATAGGAAAAAAATCTGTGTAGAACAACTACAACAGTGTAGTTAAAAAAAGTACTTTCTGTAATAATTTTCTCACCCTTATGTCATTTCAAACCTGTATGACTTTAATTTATATGTGAAACAGAAAAGAGGATATTTTGAAAATATATTTGGTTGTTTTTTGATAAATACAATGGAAGTCAACGGGGTCCAAACAAAACACAAAAAAATGGTTTGACTTACACTGTATGGACTGTATCTTCTGCAAAGAAGGAAAGTCATATAGGTGACTTGAGGGTGAGTAAATGATGACAGAATTTTCATTTATGGTGTTGATTCAACGTTGTCCTCCTTTGCACTGTATGACCCTGATCTCACATCATTTATTTCAACTGATATCAAAACAATGTGGAAATCGCTGATTAGAAGCACATAACTGCTCGGCTTACACGCCATCCTGACTGTGCAAAGGCCATGTGGTCCATTTCAGCTACCTGACTGTTAGCACTGCCCCCTCCAACTTGGACCGTTCAGCCAACAGAGTGCCATTAAATAAATTGTGTTGTTGTAATCCTCTCTGATGTTTGCTCCCAATAATGCCCGTTCGTCATGTTAACCCATTTTGATCACCCTATTTCCCAGCCTGTGCAGAAATGGACAGCTCTGTTTGAGTGTAAACAGCAGCTTTGCCTGAGAATAACGGCTAAATATGATTGCGTGACTTATTTCTATGCAGTAAAGCTAGAGATTACAGTTGACTTCCCTTACTGGTGCAGTGAAAGTTTCACGCAATGAATGCAAAACAATCACAGAAACTCCTAGACAGGTGGCGTTGGTGACACTGTTTGCCCTTGCAATATGTGGATGGCATCAATGTCATTCAAACAGGAAAAAAGGTGAATATGACCAGGTGAGGTTAGTGAATGCAACAGAATGGGCCTGATTTTAATATCCTCGGCAAGCTCAAGGACACAGCAAGACTTTTTAAAAAACAAAACAATGAAAAGACAAATGGGCTGTATTTCATCTGCTCAGACATGTGAGCAAAGCACAGAATTATTTCGTTTTGGAGAGCTCCTTGCTGGAGGCCTGATGGAAGTGGGAATATTTGCATAGCGGATAATTAGACATGGGATTACCTGAAGTCACTGTAGGGGTGAATGATCCAAAAGCCTGCAGATTTGACCCGTTCCTGCTCGCGCTCCACCGCCTTCTCGCTCCCGAACATTCGAAGCGAGAACTTGTTGACCCCCGGTTGAAGCATCGCGCCAAACTGCCTGTGCATAAAGCCCGCCTGATACTCATCGTCCGGCATGATTTGATCGATACCTTCCAACTTTACGAAAGTCGACTGTTCTTCAGAGGGCGCCTGTTGTGCCCCGTCGCCGCGACCACCCTGCGCGCCCTGGCTCTCTCCAGGTCCGGGTTGCTCCAAGGGACCATCGTCCTCGGGGCTCGCATCCCCGATGAGGCACCTCTGCTCCGCCAGATCCGCGTCTGGAGCATGCCTACTGGTGATGGAAGAGAGGCTGCCTCTGAACCTCCGGCAGTCGCCGTTCACGTTGGTTCTGAAGGGTCTCCCCACATCGGTCTCCGCGTCTCCGCTCTTGGCCTCGCTGACACCTTTAGAGCTCCCCGTGGAGGAGGGTGAGGGAAGATGCTTCATCTTGACACTTTTCCTCCGAGTGTCCTTGTCACTGTCTTCGCCGTCTCGAGTCATAGCACCCTTGTGTCCAAACTGATGTGGCAAGCTATAGAGCCGTTTGCGCATGGAAGAATGCACCTTATCCATTGTGATCGACCACCTTAACAGAACAAATGACAGTCGGTGTCATCTGAGAGGAGACGCAGGCTGGAAAATAGGTCGTCAAAAATATGAATGCACAAATATGCATCCCGCTGCATCTGTAATACTAGACACCGAGCGCGCGCACTGGAAGCGGGAAGACGGACGGACGTGTCTGAATGAGAAACACTTTGACGCGCGTCTCAATGACAAATCATTACACCCTCCGTTTCAAACTACTCTTTAAACAGCACCTGCGAAGCCCCCGGCCACTGACACATCAGTAATCCAATGTGCAGAAGATGTCCAGTTCAGTTGTGGTAACATGCGTGGGGACGGATCATCTATTACGTTGCCATAGAAGCGCAGACAGCAAATAAGCACACACCACCTAAACCGACTGTTAGGGGTGTAGCAAACACATAGATAAACCTTACATGACATGCCTGTCTTCGTCAAATGATTTGTTGTGTATTTTCGCCCAATAATAACATAAACATTCCTGAATGGCGTTTTTACGTCATTTAGTCTATTACGTCATGATGCCTTATGGAAAAGAATGGTATTGTTCCGTGCTAACAGCTGCGTATTGTTGATCAGTTGGCTTGACAGGATCAGGCTAGCAGGGTGCGAGGAAGTCATAAGAAATACAAGTATGTAGGCTGTTCGTTGTACGTAATGATTAATACAGTTTAACAGTAACTTCTGTGATCACAAAAGTTGAAATCGCGTTCGCTGGAGAACGTAACCATGGCAACAGTTCGCCGCTGGAACGCGGTCTAGCGTCAGTATCGGACGTAAAGCGGCAAAACAAGTCACTTTATTGTGGATTATTCACACAACACAATAAAATAATAAAATAAACTTTTAGTGTCAATTTAAAAAAATGGTTTTAAGGTAGTTGACTGTTATCTGGGACGCCAGAATTTGGGGATAATTTGGACTATTATTCATCTCCAGGCAGTGTGGTGGAGTTTTCTGAAGACGAGACGCGATGAGGAAATATTAGGTTAGACCAGAGGCTGTATGGCTGACAGACATCCATCCTCATTGCTAAAATGCTGTTCAGGTTTGGTTTATGCAGGTTTGGTGTTGGTCTAGCTGCGAAAGAGTAGTTAGTGAGGCTGGTTGAGCAAGATAGCGTAGCTAGTTAGGCTAATGAAGAGGTCTAGTGGGGACAACAGCTATGATTACCGCCCCCACTAGACCCCCAATCTGACAGTTGTTGCATGTAAAGTTGGCATTTGGAGCGCTCAACAACACTATTAGATCAATGGGTTCTGTCAGTGCTTTGGCAAAGTAACACTTTTTTTTTTGCCATGCAATAAAGCTAAGTTCAAAGGACAATTTAAAATACTGGTACAAGTAAAAGGTGCATAAAATCAGGATTTTGTTAGGGCAGTATTTGTGGCAGTCGAGAAATCATGCTGCGAAATCGGTCCAAAAGGTGTGCGTTTTTGCGCCAATGCATTGTTAAAGGATCCGTTAGTTGTGTAATATTCACATACTGGTATCATAAAATTCGCCAATTCACAAGATCAACACATCCTTTATTAAACCGATCTGACGAATTTAACACATCCTTATAGAAGTGTCGATATGCTGAATAAATTCACTTCTAACAGCGCTTAATGGGAGCAGCGTCATACAGAGGACAGAGCGTCATGTTATTTAGATGGAAAGCGCCAAAGAGTAAAGCGGGAATAAGTAGCTGCATTCTGATTACTTTTATGTGACTGATCAAGCTTTTATATGTAGTTTTATATGTCTGACTGAAATAATAATGTAAAAACTGACACTTTAAATCAACATTTTAAACAACAACAAACAGAACAACTAAACAAAAACAGATAAAGACAAAAAGTAGCCATTGATAATATCTAAACATGTATCCAAATCAAATTAATTTATGTGAGATGACAATTTCTTTGCAACTAGGTATTGCACAAACCTGTTTGTATTTATTTTATATAGGGCTTTACAGGTGTCTAGTGGCAACACAATGTTATTACAGATGATAAATGGTGTAAAATGTACATCTTAACAGTCAGTTTATAATGCGTTCAGATTTGTGGAACTCACAATGCGCTGAAACTTCACACATTATCCACACATTACTATGACAACCAATGTGAATGTGACAAGAAACTGCAGTCTGAAAAAAAAACTAATAAATAAATAAATAAATATATATATATATATATATATATAGATAGATAGATAGATAGATAGATAGATAGATAGATAGATAGATAGATATAACACACAGCCTTGTTTTAAAACAACTGTGCTTCATCTAATATCATGGTTTGTACTGTGCAGTCCACCTACAACATAACATGTCAGATGGTGAAGTCAGGGCACCAAGTGATCTAATTAAACTAAATATTGAGAGAACAATGGCACTATAATCTGTAAGTGCCTGGGCACAGAACTTTCTGCCTTTTGAGCAGAAAATGCATTGTGACAAACACTGCCTTTCCAGGAATCATCCGTCCCTATGGCTATGGTGGAGAAATGACTGTGAGATTTTTCTGTGTGGATTTGATTTTTGTGTGTATGAAAATATCATCTTTCATTCTGTTGTATGGTAACCTGCTGTCTGAATACCATTGTAACTCAGCTAATTTCACCTTATAATATTTGTATGGCTTTATAGTGTGCAGGTCATATTATTGAGCTTCATCTTAAAATGCCTCTCAAATCTTTCTGGCAGCACATGAATGCCCTATTTTGTAGTAATGTGCTATATAAAACACATTAATGCAATAAAATGCGTATTTACACCACAGACATATGGTTTAAACGGAACAGTATAATAATGAGAGTAGATGATAATACTTATGGAAATAGCACATCCAAAGACCATTGCACAGCTCATTTTTGGCGCAATGTCTATAAATGAAACCTTAAGAGTGTGGGGGAGTGGAAATAAAGGTCCAGAGACATTAAGGCCCAATCACAATTCAATTTTATAGCCCTTCCCCTTCCCCTCCGCCTACCCCTTCCCCTTGTCCCTTGAAACAGAGTGTAGGGGTGAAAATATTCCCCTAAGAATTGGGACACCACTCCTACTATGGCTTCACACGTCGTCATACGTCAATACACACACCTATGCTGGTGTGCATTAGAGCCTTTAATTATCGTTCTATATTAATGCGCTGCTTACTGACACACACACACACACACACACACACACATTCGCTCGGGCAGCCATGTTGCCCCTGAAGCCGGTTTACGCTGAGAATTCATACCCCTTAGTTTGAAGTGTGGTCCCGAAAAGTCTTCGTTTGAAGGGATATCCGGCCTTTCCCCTTACCCCTACCCCTCCAACCAAAAGAGAATCGAGACACCCCTACCCCTTCACGTGAACGCACCAAACGGAGGGGTAGGGGAAAGGGGAAGGGCTAAGGGGTAGAAATGGGATTGGGCCTAAATTGCTTCCTTTTTTTCTGAGAAGATCAATAATATCAGGAATGCGATTAGCACATCCCCAAGTTACGCAGAGGTTAGACATATTCAACCACAATATCAAAAAGAAGATACTATGTCTGCTTTTGAAGAAATTGATAGCAAAATTTTGGAAGAAATAGTACAGCACCTTAAATCGTCAACATGCTATCTTGACACACTTCCCACATATTTTTTCAAAAGGGTGCTTAACTGTTTGGAAGCAGATCTCTTAGAAGTGGTGAACGCCTCACTTCTTTCTGGGACTTTTCCAAACTCCCTGAAAACTGCAGTTGTTAAACCCCTTCTGAAAAAGAGAAATCTTGATAACACCATATTGAGCAACTATAGACCAATATCAAATCTTCCTTTTATAGGAAAGATTATTGAAAAGGTAGTCTTTAATCAGCTGAACAAATACTTAAACTCAAATGGATACCTGGACAATTTTCAATCTGGTTTCCGACCGCATCACAGCACAGAGACAGCACTCATTAAGATAAATGATATTCGCTTAAATTCTGAATCTGGCAAAATATCAGTGCTGGTACTACTCAGTGCTGCGTTTGATACTGTCGATCATAACATACTACTAGAGAGACTGGAAAACTTGGTTGGGCTTTCTGGCATGGTAATTAAATGGTTCAGGTCATACTTAGAAGGGAGAGGTTATTATGTGAGTATAGGAGAGCATAAGTCTAAGTGGACGTCCATGACATGCGGAGTCCCACAAGGCTCAATTCTTGCACCGCTCTTGTTTAGCCTGTATATGCTCCCACTAAGTCAAATAATGAGAAAGAACCAAATCGCCTATCACAGCTATGCAGATGATACCCAGATTTACCTAGCCTTATCTCCAAATGACTTCGAGACCCCAGGAAACCAGGAAAGGGGAAGGGCTAAGGGGTAGAATTGGGATTGGGCCTAAATGTTTAAAGGGTCTGAAGATTCAGCCTTGGTCAGCAATGCCCCCCTCTGGTGCACAGACATATTTCTTTTAGGATTGCAAGCATAACAGTGCCAACCCTATGCTAGGATAATTTTTAACCTTTAATACATAAACACCCACACAAAGATGTTGATACTGAAGCAGATGGTATCTACTTTTTTCGAAAACAATGCAACATTGTGTAAGTTTCACTTTGCGTTTCATGTTTTAAAGTTTCATGTTTTGCAAGTGTCCTTCTTTGCTAGTTTATGATTTTGTTTGCATATGCACACTGATTAATTACGAGAATTAAATTTATTACTCATATTAAAGTAATATGAAACTCATATTAAAGTAGTAGTTCACCCAAAAATGAAAATATGCTGCAATTTTTACTAACCCTCAGGCCATCCAAGATAGACGAGTGTGTTTCTTCATTGGAACAGATTTGGAGAAATTTAGCATTACATCGCTTGCTCGCCAATGGATCCTCTGCAGTGAATGGGTGCCGTCAGAATGAGAGTCCAAACAGCTGATAAAAACATCATGATAGGTTAAAGGCTTGCTTGAACAGAAGTCATTCATAAATACACAAACAAAAAAGCCTGTATCAAACAGTAATTATCTTGCATGCAATTATTATTTGTGTACTTTTGCCCGACATGGAAAAAGTTGACTTGAATAAAAGAGATTCTAAAGAAAATGCAACACAACCATGCAAGAAAATGTTCAGAATCAGGTTCCGTTCTGTTCACTCGTCCTCCTCACACCAGATTTATAAGGCAAGCCTCGGGTGCTCATTTCTTTCCGGTCTTCTATTTAACTCCTCCACCTTTGATTTGTTTACCAATGCATTGAACCGTTCATGATTAACGTTCATATGGTCATGATGTGAATGTCTTTATCTGTAAACAACAAACAGTGGTGACAAAAGTGGGTTAATAATGTGGCTTTTGCTGTTTCAGAAGATTGAGAAATGTGCTAATTTATACAAATTAGCATTGCTTCTTTGATATTCATTGCACGGCTTTCTGGAATACTTGATTCTGACTGGGTCAGTCACGGCATTCTGCAAACAGATATTTCCTAATATTCATCATCGTCCATGGCAACTCTGTATATCAGTCAGCTTATCAGTCAGGTTCACAAAGAAAAACGCGAGATGCAGGGCAGTCTCAGGCTTTGTTTTAAAAAGTTCAACTTTTTTTAAAATCTTGAACGTAGCATTTTTAGAATGCTGCGTGCATGAGACACGAGTGTCCATCAGCATGTTTCCATAGAAATCAAGAATGCCAAAAACGCATTCTGTGAAAAAAAAAAAACTTGCATAAACTGGCGCTACTTTCATGTGTCTCCAATCACCATAAACGGTACCCTCTCATTTGATATGAGCGCAAATGAAAAAAAGAATGTAGTCTCAGTAGTTCATATATACAGGTTTTTTTACACTCCAAATGCATAAGTCATTGCAATGAAATTATAAAACAAAATATGATATTCTGTTCATTTACACCCGTTCTGGTAATTTCTAAATTTTTAAATGTGGCTTAGTTTTCTTAGCTACTATAAGCACTGTTTACTATCTTGTTTTGTGTTCAACTGATATGAATATTCTCAGTGTAACGGAATACTCACCTTGTAATGATGAAATCAATTTGTATTTCTCTGACGTAGGTTTTTATCTTTGTGGTTGTTGGTGGAATTAGTTTTCCTTGAAGGTGAGATCATAAAAATGAGTCAGAATGAGTGTCACAATCCAAAATACAAATCCAGCATTTTACAATCGCTCGTATTTAATTACATTTCCTTAATTTACTGTTTCTTTATACTCTATACATTCTGTAGAAATTACACATCCACTGGCATCAGTTATCTAGGACAGTTGCATCATATTAAGTCTTAATTCAAATGTAAATCTGATACTTACATTGGCCCAGCTGGTTCGTCATCTTAGGAAGAATGGGAAGAAAAACAACAACAATTTTAGTTTGAGGCTGTAATGGTTTCAGTTGGCACAATATTCACATTATTAAATGAATGCCGCAAACTGACTGCATTATAGCTAAAAACAACTCAATGCCATATTGTCTTTCAATATTTAGGATATTGTTGCACAGTACATCGCTCCATCAGCTTTGGTGTGAGTAATTAAAAGGCTCGCACTATATAACAGTACAAGAACTAATAAGAAATACAACCATGCAGCCAATGGAGTGAAAAACTACCTATGTAACCATCCTATGTTTAATATTACGTGACTTTTATATATTGCACATGATATATATATATATATATATATATATATATATACACATACATACATACACACACACACACACACATTTTTAGCTTTTTTAAACAATCCAAATTGAAAGGAGAAAAGAAATAGAAGGAAAAATCTCATGCTCATGCCAACATGATTGCATTTGAACAGACTCAAGTGAAGAAAATGTACAGAAATGAAGGTCATTTGAAGGTTAAACAGCAAAAAACAGACAGCATTCCAATAATGAAGGCAAAATAAAAACCCTTTCTAGCCTAAATCAAACAAAACTTATATACACACTAAAGTACAGCAGAACAGTGGTTATGGGCAATAAAGGTAGGTTCAATCAAGCTGCATGCAGGCCTTTCACTTACCACAGTGTTTTAGGTTGTGCCATTCAGAGAGAAAGAAACGTGTTAACGTTGTTAATTCTTAATGACTTAATTAACCAGTAATTTAATGCTAAAATAATGGTGCAGTGATTCACAATTAACTATAAACGCCTGCACAAAATGTGTAGCACAAACGAAGCTGTAACTGAATTTATATACCTAACACGGTATTTTTACACATTTTAACCAAACAAAACGCATAAATTCGTCGTTTCTGTCTATGAGGATGAAATAAATACCGAGGAAAACCACTAGGTGGCGATGCTGGACAGACAACATCCCATTGAACGTCGCTGTGTAGCTCAAGACGTTCACAGTTTGTGATGTGCTAAACCAGTTCTGGAAGAAATATCGATTGGTAATAATGAAATGTAAGAAATAGCAAAAATTATTGAATCCCAACGCGATCTTCATTGCTTTAAACAGTCTTCAAACATAAAGAGTTCGTTTTATATAAAGCCAGGGCTAAAGTGAATTTATTGGCATGCAGGAATACATTGTGCTGGACTGACGGAGTCTCGTTTTCCCTCGCAATGCAGTGTAGGTGAGCTGTAAGTGGCGTTGGACTACACCTCCACGCACATAATTAATTCACTGCCCACTGCCTACCCATACACTGCAGAGTCATATTTCTCTCGAATATCTGATTAGAATCCAGATGACCTAACGCAGGTGCCCTACAGGAAAAGAGCAATGAGTGTGTGTGTGTGTGTGTGTGTGTGTGTGTGTGTGTGTGTTTGGTCAGGATGGCCTCAGACTGAACTGAGTCTCGTTTTCCCTCACAATGCAGTGTAGGTGAGCTGTAAGTGGCGTTGGACTACACCTCCACGCACATCATTAATTCACTGCCCACTGCCTACCCATACACTGCAGAGTCATATTTCTCTCGAATATCTGATTAGAATCCAGCTGACCTAACGCAGGTGCCCTACAGGAAAAGAGCAATGAGTGTGTGTGTGTGTTTGGTCAGGATGGCCTCAGACTGAATTATTAAGTAAGAAACCAGGTCAGGATCAGATAACAGAGTGTATGGTTTTCCAATAAACTTGAGTAAAAGGTTCATGAGGCAGCGGGAGAAAACTTAAGTAAGAACTGTGTAAGGGGGACAATTATTATCCTTTAGTCTGTTCTGCTCACCGAAGCTACATTTAAAAATACAGTAAAACCGTAATATTGTGAAATATTACAATTTAAAATTACCGTTTTCTATTGAAATACGTTTTGAAATGTAATTTATTCCTGGGCTGGCATCATTACTCCAGTGTCACATTATCCTTCAGAAATCATTCTAATATACTGATTTGCTGCTCAAGAAACATTTTTATTATGAATGTTGAAAACACCTATTGTTTTTAGTATTCTTTAATGAACAGAAAGTTCATTAATCCTTTAAATAAATAAATAAAGTAACTCTTACGGACGCCAAACTGAACAGTAAGTTTATCGTCAGTAGCATCCCTTTTTTAAACTTGAGATAATACCAAAATGTGAAAATGTTTCTTAGTCAATATCTATTTAAAGTAGGGCTGCACAATTAATCAAATTTCTAATCGTGATTACAATAACGGATGCCACAATTACGTAATCGTCCAAAGGTGCAAAAAATTTTTTTTATATATATAAATAAATAAATATATGTGTGTGTGTGTTTTGCTTGCTACAGGTTATCTTAAGGGTTTTTCCATTGTTTTGATTTTAGTTTTAGTATAACATTATAATACCATGCATATTTTTACTTTTTTTAAATTCTTATTGAAAGATGAACCCAAACCAATGTATAGTTGACATTTGAGGCTTAATACACTGAACAAAATGATAAACGCAACACTTTTGTTTTTGCCCCCATTTTTCATGAGCTGAACTCAAAGATCCAATACTTTTTCTATGTACACAAAAGGCCTATTTCTCTCAAATATTGTTCACAAATCTGTCTAAATCTGTGTTAGTGAGCACTTCTCCTTTGCCGAGATAATCCATCCACCTCACAGGTGTGGCACAGATACTGATTAGACAGCATGATTATTGCACAGGTGTGCCTTAGGCTGGCCACAATAAAAGGCCACTCTAAAATGTGCCGTTTTACTGTATTGGGGGGTCCGGGGGGGGTCCGAAAACCATTCAGTATCTGGTGCGACCACCATTTACCTCACGCAGTGCAACACATCTCCTTCGCATAGAGTTGATCAGGTTGTTGATTGTGGCCTGTGGAATGTTGGCCCACTCCTCTTCAATGGCTGTGCGAAGTTGCTGGATATTGGCAGGAACTGGAACACGCTGTCGTATATACACTGATCCAGAGCATCCCAAACAGTCTCAGTATGCTGAGTATGCTGGCCATGCAAGAATTGGGATGTTGATGAGCTTCCAGATGAGCTTCCCTGAGACGGTTTCTGACAGTTTGTGCAGAAATGCTTTGGTTATGCAAACCGATTGTTGCAGCAGCTGTCCGGGTGGCTGGTCTCAGACGATCTTGTAGGTGAAGATGTTGGATGTGGAGGTCCTGGGCTGGTGTGGTTACAAGTGGTCTGCAGTTGTGAGGCTGGTTGGATGTACTGCCAAATTCTCTGAAATGCCTTTGGAGACAGCTTATGGTAGAGAAATTAACATTCAATTCACGGGCAACAGCTCTGGTGGGCATTCCTGCAGTCAGCAATCAAATTGCACGTTCCCTTAAAACTTGCAACATCTGTGGCATTGTGCTGTGTGATAAAACTGCACATTTTAGAGTGGCCTTTTATTGTGGTCAGCCTAAGGCACACCTGTGCAATAATCATGCTGTCTAATCAGCATCTTGATATGCCACACCTGTGAGGTGGATGGATTATCTCGGCAAAGGAGAAGTGCTCACTAACACAGATTTAAACAGATTTGTGAACAATATTTGAGAGAAATGGGCCTTTTGTGTACATAGAAAAAGTCTTAGATCTTTGAGTTCAGCTCATGAAAAATGGGGGCAAAAACAAAAGTGTTGCGTTTATAATTTTGTTCAGCGTACTTAGAAAAGCAATACATTTTTTTCAGGAAGAGTGTTTTCAGTTTGTTTATTTTCATATAAAAATATGGCATGCAGTTGCTTCAAACTATGGTATAAAGCTATTCAAAACATCATTCAATGTAAATCGCAATTATAATTTCAATAATTTTTGTCATAATCGTGCAGCCCTAATTTAAAGCGTAATTCCTAGAAAGAAAATGCATTCATACGTTTCTGTGTCTTTTGTGCCCATTGTAGGTGTATTATATCAGACAAACTATGCTTAGGATGGTCTTGGACTAAATAAATCTCTTCTCCACTTTTATAAAATAAATATCAGCCTAAAATCAGTAGTCCGTATGGAGACAGTAACCCACCCTTTTAAACTCACCGTCAGGAACATCATCAGGGTTCTTGCGCTTCTCGTAGATGACAATGATCAGCACCAGGATGATGATCTCGGCGAGGACTCCCAGCAGGGGCCACAGGGGGGCCAAGCGGCTCCTGACACGCAGAACTGATGGCATGGAGTTGGAGCCGATAATGTTAGTGGCATTGCACTCGTACTCTCCAGGGTCGGAGGTGATGTCTAGGTTGATGATGGACATCTCGGTGTAGCCATCCTTGCTGCTGATGAAGAAGCGGCCAGAGGAGTTGTCAATATCCTGGGTGATTGATTGAGTGGGAGGAAAACCGTTGACAGATAGGTGAAAGACAGGGAAGGAAAGCCACTGATTATATGCTCAAATAGTATTTCTTATTAAAAAATATTTACTTTTTATTAAATTATATATGTTTGAAGGTAGCTCAAGTAACAGAAACTACAAGGGAGAGTTGAAGACCTTTTAGTGTAACTGTAAAAATGCCTTTTTGTTTTATAAAGTAAATGTAAGAATAAATGATATATTGTTATTAATATTTCAAGAGGAACACATACTGGACATAAAGTAACTTAGGTTTACTTGATTATCCATACATCATTATTTTTTTTAGAAAAATCATGTTAAATATGACCATCTGGCTTTTGAGGAACATTTCTTTGTTCGTCTCTCAATCATCACTGTATTGCATTGCATTATATGTTTTGATATGAGCTAAACATTCAAATATAATCTTACCAAGACATTATATTGGGAGATATAGAGTGACAACTGATATTTTATGCAAGTAGTCTGTTAAACTGATAAAATATAATTGATTTACATTACAAGCCATCAGAATTTCATGATACTTTTTGGCTTATTATATATTATATTTATATATTATAAATATCCAGCCTGGTCTCATGTTTATACCTAGGTATTAATACGTAACATTTACAAGCACAAAACGTACACTTTTGTACGTTTTTAATTATGCTAAAACGTACAATTTAGACGTATTTCAACGTTTAAAACGTACAAATAGCTACGTATTTTTAGCTTAAAAAACGTAAAAATATTTACGTATCTTTTATATCATTTAGATATCCATATCAATGCATTTTTATCATTTTATCAATAAGCGATTTAGATTTTTAGACCCCTTAACCTACACACAAACCCTAACCTACCCATTTTATAGCGATATATAAAGGATATAAAACGCAAATGACCGAAATACGCAGGAAAATAAAACTTTTAGTAACAATATAGCATTAAAATATATTTATAGTCGCTAATTCCTCTCCTACCTATAAGCCTAAACATTTCTGTACAGTATAAGAAAAACATGATAGACAGATAAATGCAATTAACGTT